TATGAACTGACATTAGCTGGAAAAATTACTTATTTTTGGATTATTGACAAATTATTTTTCTGTTTGACACTGTAAAGCTGCTTTGACACAATCAGTATTGTATTAAGTGCTATATAAATAAAGGTGACTTGACTTGCGTGAACCGAGAACTTATTGGGTGCTTTAATTTAATAACTGCGTTTGTGTGATGTGCACGATTACGTAAACTGATAAATCGGTTATTTGAACCAATTCATTGTTTCAATGAATTGGTTCAAATAACCGATTTATCAGTTTACGTAAACTGTCCGAAAGAACCAGTTTATGGAAAAGAAACAGACTTCCAAGTTTGCCTGAGGCTCTGGATTACAGGTAATAATAATGTTGTAAATAATGTTCATTTTCTTGCACAGACTGATCGTTTCGCTTCATAAGACCTCAATGTATCGTCAGGAGTCAATGGGATTAATTTTGTGTTGCCTGATGTGTTTTTGACTCTCAAAGTGATGGACTTGCATTATATGGATCACCAAAAACCACGGTTTCAGCTAAAAATCTTTACTGTTCTGCTGAAGGAAAAAGTCACCTACATCTGGGATTGAGTGAGTAAATTAACAGCAAATATTAATTAATGGGGAACTATCCCTTTAATGCTTTTGTCCATGCTTTTCAGCAAATTTAAAAAGCAAGCTGCACTTAAGGATGCTCATACTTGAGTTTTCTCTTTTAAAAATGTTAAGAGTGAAAAAGAAACCCAGTTCTTTGTAATCACATTGCAATAGCTGTAGTTATTACAGTCTGAAGGCAGCATATGTTCCCTCCTTTGTAAATATTTTTGTATTGCATGTCTTTAGTCCTTTAGTGAAATAGGACTCTCTTGTATGCCTGTATGATTGCTGAATGACAATAAAGGTAATCTTGACATTATGTCATTGGCATTCTGTACCTCGAAGTCCTTAGCATGTTATAATTTCATAATTAGCCAACTGACTTGATAGTCTAGCTACTCTTATTGTATACTATTAGTATAAAAAGTGCTTTAAGTCTTACACTTACTTTTAAGTAGACAATGTTACATTCATGATTAATGCAAATCCTTACTAAAAATGTCAGAATTGCAAAATCGATCGGTAGTTATTAATGTTTTAAGACAAAGTCAACTTTATGGCAAACTTTGCACTCATATATTGATGACATATCATCCGTATTTTCTGATTTCATCATAAGGGAAATTTCATCTTGTGACTGACGTTTAATTACACATTTTATACTGCAAATTCTGGTCATCAGAACATATTAAAATATCACTGTGAATTGTAATTAATTTGATGGACATATGACGTTGTAGTTACTTCGCCAATAAGAAATTGCCAAAATATTACAACCTTAAGATGTCGTTTTATTAAAACAAGTTTTTTTTGTGATTTTAAGACCTTTCGGGATACTGCAATGATTCGTTTGTCTTGTTCACACACGACCAACGCTGCACAATTATGACAAAAATCATAATGGTTGATTATTCCCTTGAAATTGTAACTGCGATTATTTATTAAGATTATCACAATTGATCTTGAATGATGTTTATACCATTGTTTAAAGCAACTGCATGCCATATTTTTATATAAAAATAAGCTGAAAACACTCTAAGTGAAAAACTTTTATTGCTTTTCTGTAGTATTAAGCCTCAAATGTGAACTCTACATTGGATTGGTTTCTGATTTAAATAAAAAAAAAAAAGTAAAAATATACATGGTATTATAATGTTAAACTAAAATTAAAACAATGGAAATCCCTTAAGATAACCTGTAGAAATTAAGAAAAAAAAAACATCTTAAAGGGGCAGTTCACTCAAAAATTACCCCATAATTTACTGACCCTCAAACCTTCTTATGTGTATATGACTTTACTGTGTGTATAAAATCTAACTGAATCATTCTTAATTTGCTAAAATTGATTCTGAACTGAATCGTGAATCAAATCTATACCAAAAGATTCACACCACTACTTTAGGATAAAAATAATAATATCCCACCATCCTCTCAGATTTTGGCTGCTCTTTTTCTTGCCAGAATAAATCTGTGGTGTGTTTGCTAGCAGAGCACGACTTTAAAGAATTGCCAAGAATTAAAAACGTGCAAATAATACATTTTCTTGACTGGCCCATCATGCAGTCCTTATTGTAGAGCCCTGTGCATGTGTTTTTAAGCCTTGTCATTTTAAACGTTCAAGCGCAATAAACTGTGAAAGAGAGCTTAAACTGGTACTCACACACTGAGTACAGAATTCAGTTATTTTTTTCTTTTTTGATTCTTATTGCGCTTAACTTTCTGTGTATTTGACCATTTATGCCAAAATCTTAGCGAGTATTCAAGTAAACGCAGTCGGTTAAATGATTGTGACCAATTGGGAGACCATTAACAGCAGTCTAATAAACCTGCTGCTGTCTGTGTCCTTTATACACAGAAATGTCCAATTTAGTGGTATATGAAAAGTGTCATAGCGTTTTCTTTTTGTTGTTATTAAAGGCATAGTTCACCCAAAAATGTTTGTAACGAAACTTCTATAGTTTAGTTACCAACAATTTGTGTTCAACAGAAGAAAGAAACTCATAAAGGTTTTGAACAACTTGAAGGTGAGTAAATAATGACACAATTTAAATTTTTGGGTGAACTATACCTTTATTAAAAAGGCAAACACTATAATACTTAATAATTTACCATCAGAGAAAATTTACTTTTTACTTTTCACTTTATTTCAGACTCATGAATCCATATCAATACAAACATATGTTTATGTTTGATGTCCATCCATTGTTGTCCTTATTGCTTTTGGTCTTTGGCCCTGTTTACATTTGGACCTGGTATTAAGATGCATTTTTAGTGAAACAAATCCAATCAGAAGTGGTTATCTGCAACAGCTTGAGTTAGGATTGTGTTATTTCAGGGAGTTGATCCCATTAAATGAAGTTTGGTTTAAGTAATTTTAGTCCTAATGGTGATCTACTCCACCAAGCTACTGTTATAAGCATGAGCCCCGTCAGACTGGTCGTGGCGGCGGTGTTGCAACAATATATAGTGATATTCTCAATGTTACACAGAAAACAGGATACAGGTTTAACTCATTCAAAATACTTCTGCTTAATGTTACACTGTCAGAGATGCAGAAAAATCTCTTGCTCTGGCTACTGTGTATAGACCGCCAGGGCCGTTTGCAGATTTCCTAAAAGAATTAGCGGTTTTCCTCTCAGACCTATTGGTTACTGTTGACAAAGCGCTAATTGTCGGAGACTTTAACATTCATGTTGATAATACAAATGATGTGTTAGCACTTGCGTTTACAGACTTAATAAACTATTACTGATATTAACTACATCGCTCCACATTATCATCCGGGTATTGTTCCAACCACTAAAGATAGATTCACAAATAACCTGCCTGATTTGTCGCAACTGCTATGTGTACCCATAAATGCACATGAACTAGATGAAAAAACTAGCAATATGGGCACTATATCCTCTCTCATAGATTAGAAGAAGTTGTTGTCACCGTCAAATTAAAAAAGGTTAGCACCATGGTACAACAGCAATACCCATTCTCTCAAGAAAGAAACTTGCAATCTTGAGCGCAAATGGACAAAAAAACTAACTTGGAAGTTTTTAGAATTTCGTGGAAAAACACAACTAGATCCTAGTGAACTGGCAAATTACAGACCCATTTAAAATCTTCCGTTTATGTTTAAAATGTTAGAAAAAGTTGTGTCTGCTCAATTGTTTCTTCCTGCAAAAGAAAAAAAAAAGATATCTTGAATTTCAGTCAGGTTTCAGGAACAATCATAGCACAAAAACTGCACTTGTTAAAATTACAAATGACTTGCTTCTTGCGTCAGACCAAGGCTGCATCTCATTACTAGTTTTAATTGACCTTAGTGCTGCGTTCGACACTATAGATCATGACATACTCATAGATCAATTACAAAACTATACGGGTATTCAAGGGCAGGCTTTAAAATGGTTTAGATCCTACCTGTTCGACTGTTATCACTTTATTTAAATGGGGAGTCATCTCAATTAATGCCAGTAAAGTATGGAGTGCCACAAGGATCTGTCCTAGGTCCTCTGCTATTTTCGATATACATGTTGCCCCTGGGTAATATTATTAGAAAATACGGGATTAGTTTCCACTGTTATGCTGATGATACTCAACTATATATCTCAACAAGACCAGATGAAACTTCTAAATTATCTAAGCTAACAGAATGTGTTAAAAATGTAAAAGATTGGATGACCAATAATTTTCTCCTATTAAACTCGGATAAGACAGAGATATTACTTATTGGACCAAAAGACAGTACACAGAATCTCGTGGATTACAATTTGCAACTAGACGAATGTACGGTTACTTCCTCTACAGTCAAAAATCCGGGTGTTATATTAGATAGCAACTTGCCTTTTGAAAATCATATTTCCCATGTTACAAAAACAGCATTCTTCCATCTTAGAAACATTGCCAAGCTACGAAACATGTTACCTGTTTCTGATGCAGAAAAGCTAGTTCATGCATTCATGACCTCTAGACTGGACTATTGTAATGCACTGCTAGGTGGTTGTCCTGCATCTTCAATAAACAAGCTACAGGTAGTCCAAAATGCAGCGGCTAGAGTCCTTACCAGGTCAAGAAAATATGATCATATTACCCCAATTTTACAGTCTCTGCACTGGCTACCTATTAAGTTCTTTTAATTACAGGTATACTCTAAACATTTTGCAAATAAAATAATTGCATTTGAAACGTGTATAATTACAATGGAAAAAGTAACAAATACATTTAATAATGTAATAGCAGGTTCAGTAAAAAAAAAAAAAAATCTGAACATAAAAAAAAGAGGATCAACCGACTTAAGATTTTCTTTACAGAAAGTGCAGTTCGTTTAGAGTCGATACTTTAGCCGGAGGTCTTTTATTTTGCCCCGCGGAACAGCTGTGACGTCATGACGCCGGCGCCGGGACTCCTCCCTCTGCTGTTATTCGACAGAGGAGAGGGTTTTGTTTCGAGCCGTTCAGAGTTTAAGGTGTGTAAAACGTTCAGTACGGTTTGAAGTTGATTAACTTTGCTCTCTATTTCTTTCTATTAACTATTCCAGTCGTCTTAAACGTGACGCAGAACTCTTCGAGAAAAGTAGAAGAGAAATCTTCATGTCATGGAGTTTATTAAAGACGAGCCTGAAGACTGGACTGATCCAGAGCCCCGCAGAGTGAAAGATGAAGAAACTGAGGAACTAATAGGTTGGTATTCAAAACAATTCCATTAAATTTGCTTATTACTTCTCATAATGTGTCTTAGGCCAGAAAAGAGCAAACTACTTTGTTTAATGCACCAAAGGTAAATTGAAAGGAAACACAGTAAATGCATATATCTGCAGGTTATTTGGAATACAGTAACAATATATATATATATATATATATATGTATATGTGTTTAAATTAGGGTTGGATGATATGGCAAAAAAAAAAAAATCTCAGTTTTTTGCGATGTATATCTGTATTTTCTATGCTTTCTATATATATATATATATATATATATATATATGTCCTGCCCAATGTTGTCCAATGACACAATGTTCATATTAAAGGCAGTAAAATAAACAAAGTGATTGTAACCATGTAGGCAATGCTATATATTAAGTGCAAAAAACGGTTAAAATCACATTGCATTCTAACATTGTAAGATTACAGTCTAAAAACAAAAATAATGCATTTTACTAAACAAAAATTCTATTCACTAAAAAAAATAAATAAAACAAGGCTATTTTGATTACCCCAGTACAGTCACTTTATGGTTAGTGCTATTATAAAAATACACTTACTTGTAGGTTTAAAATTCTACATATGGCACATTTATTGTGCAAGTACAAATATTTTAGGAAAACGTATATTTTCACAATTACTGCGCTCCGTCTGTGCTCGTTCACTGAAGTCTGTGAAGTTTAGCGGAGAATCGCATGCAGAAGGCTCATGCACTCCTGACAGCAAAATAGAAATATTTCCATGACTTTCTAACATTTACAGAAGGAGAATATACCAGTGAAGTCTAAGTTATGCACTGAGGAAAACAGCACACCAAACACATTAAACTGCGCAAGGCTGTCTGTCAGAGCATCTGACGGGGCGAGCCGCTTTAAACTATACGTGTTAACTATATCTTACCAGTGATTTTAAAGCCCTTAATATAAAGCATGTCTCATGTTTAGGACAAATTGAATTGTGCACTTTCCCCGCAGCAGCTCACTCTGCGTCCTCTGCTTTTTTTGCAGATGCGCTCGCATCAATATAAACAATATTGCCTCGTACTATATTGCTTATAAAAAATATATCGATATCGTTCAAACTCGATATATCGCTCAGCCCTAGTTTAAATATTCATAGCCTATTTCAACAGTGTATATATTACCTCTTAAATTAATAATAATAATAAAAAAAATATTGATTAACAAAATTAATAATAATATTATTATTATTAAGTGATATGAGATTTTTCATTCATATTTTAATTTATGAAGCATACTAATTCTGAGATTCTGTCATTTTCACAGTATATCATTTTTTCTAGTGGCTTACAAATACAAATTTACCTTCAAAAACAGTGGTAATCAAATCAATTTATAAAAACAACAGTTTAGTTAAAGGAATACATTTTAAAACATTTATTAAATTTTTTGGCAAGTTTATTAAATGTTGTGATTTGACTTATTGTCCATATTACTGATTTGACAGAAAAAAAATACCATTTTGATAATGTATTTAAAATGACAATAGTATCAGTAGTGTTTAACTTTTAACACATTAAACATCCCATTAAAAAAAACAAAAAAACAAAAGTTACTTGATGTGTTTTGATATCTATTTTTAATTTGGGCTTGACTTTTTGACATTTTTTAATTTCCCCTTTCTGATTTTTGTCAATTTATCGTTAATTGTAGACCTGATAGAAGTGAAAGAGGAGAGGCAAGAACTGAATGAAGTTGAGGACAACCACTATTTCCAGACACCTGAAAATTTGATAGCTGAAGAAAAACCTTTAATTGATTATCAGTCTGAAAATCTTTCACAAACAGGACGCCTTAAAGATCCCATTAAAAGTCATACCAGAAAGAGACCTTTCACATGCCATCAATGCGGAAAGAGTTTCACACATAAAGGACGCCTTAATGTTCACAAAAAAGTTCACTCTGAAGAGAGACCGTTAACTTGCCTTCAGTGTGGAAAGAGTTTCACAAATAAGGAAAACCTCAAGTGTCACATGAAAACCCACGCTGGAGAGAAGCTTTTCTCGTGTTATGAGTGTGGAATGAGTTTCACTAGCAAACTAACTCTTCAGAATCATGTAAAAACTCACTCTGGAGAGAGGCCTTTCCCGTGCCACCAATGTGAAAAGAGCTTCAATCATAAAGGACACCTTAATATTCACACGAGGAGTCACACTGGAGCAAAGCCCTTCGTGTGTCCTCAGTGTGGAAAGAGGTTTATTCATAGAGGACATCTTAACGATCACTTAAGGATTCACACCGGAGAGAAGCCTTTTACATGCACTCACTGTGGAAAGTGTTTCACACATCAAGCAAGCCTCTCCTGGCACATGAGAACTCACCCTGAAGAAACTCTTAAGCGTCGCACGAGAATGCATCCTGACGAGAATCCGTTCACATGCACTCACTGTGGAAAGAGTTTCCTTCATAAAGGACACCTTAATGATCACTTAAGAGTTCACACTGGCGAAAAACCGTTCACATGCCCTCACTGTGGAAAGAGTTTCAGTCATAAAGCATACTTTCATGTTCACTTAAGGATTCACACCGGAGAGAAACCATTTGTGTGTCCTCAGTGTGGAAAGAGGTTTATTCATAGAGGACATCTTAACGATCACTTAAGGATTCACACCGGAGAGAAGCCTTTTACATGCACTCACTGTGGAAAGTGTTTCACACATCAAGCAAGCCTCTCCTGGCACATGAGAACTCACCCTGAAGAAACTCTTAAGCGTCGCACGAGAATGCATCCTGACGAGAATCCGTTCACATGCACTCACTGTGGAAAGAGTTTCCTTCATAAAGGACACCTTAATGATCACTTAAGAGTTCACACTGGAGAGAAACCATTCACATGCCCTCACTGTGGAAGGAGTTTCAGTCATAAAGGATACTTTCATGTTCACTTAAGGATTCACACCGGAGAGAAACCATTTGTGTGTCCTCAGTGTGGAAAGAGGTTTATTCATAGAGGACATCTTAACGATCACTTAAGGATTCACACCGGAGAGAAGCCTTTTACATGCACTCACTGTGGAAAGTGTTTCACACATCAAGCAAGCCTCTCCTGGCACATGAGAACTCACCCTGAAGAAACTCTTAAGCGTCGCACGAGAATGCATCCTGACGAGAATCAGTTCACATGCCCTCACTGTGGAAAGAGTTTCCTTCATAGAGGACACCTTAATGATCACCTGAGAATCCACACCGGAGAGAAGCCTTACGCGTGCCAACAGTGTGGAAAGCGTTTCACACATAAAGGAAGCCTTACGTGGCACACGAGAACTCACAATGAGGAGGAAGTTTTCGCATGCCACCTAAGTGAGAAGAAATGTACAAATAATGTAGACGTTGAGAGTCCGATAAGAATTCTCTCTGGAGAGAAGCCTTACACGTGTCCTTTGTGTGAAAAGAGTTTCAGTCGTCAAGCAATCCTTCAGAGTCATGTAGAAACTCACTTTGAAGAGAGTCCTTAAAGGCGCTGTAGGTACTAAAGCATAACAATACCATAATATGTAGGGCGGGGACTAAATCAATGCATCGCGAAATGATTCTGCATCGATTCTGAGGTTTTCCGAAGGCATCGCGATTCTCTCTCGAATCGATTCTGAGCTTAGTTTTTAACAGCAGATGGCACTGCGTGCTTTAGAAATTGCCGAATTCTGCTTGCTTCCAGATCCTTACACACGCACCACTTGAACCTAAAATAATCATTCATAAAGTTCGAAAAGGTTGAAGCGAATTACAAGGATGTTCACAGTGGGCTGTGTTTACATTAATCTCGCATCATAAAAGCCGATATGCAAGTACATTTAAACTAGGGCTGCACGATAAATCGCATGCGATATTTAACGCGCATCTTGTCAGAAAGCTGGTTCTGTAATCAGCGGTAAATCTCCATCACGTGCGTGCTTTCACATTGAGCAGCATTAACTACACAGAGCCGTTGTTCACTGACGAGCTGCGCAAAACCACGTTCATATTCGCGCGATTTTTTGCGCAGCAGAACCGGCTTTCTGACAAGATGCGCGTTAAATATCGCATGCGATTTTTCGTGCAGCCCTAATTTAAACACTTACATTACTCAGCCGAATTCTATAGTATTTCCACACCCCGGGTTGCCAGCTGGCAGAAAACACAGGGAATTGCAGCCAGAGAAGCCAGCAAACGAACTGGGTCAGAGATCGCAGATTCTATCTGTCCTCGGCATCAAACTAAAACCCTCTAAGACCACAGGCATATTAAAACGTGGATAAATCAACTCATCAGTTTACAGTGTAAGGCTCGTCGCCTTCCATTGTCAATTCATTACTGTTTCGTGTCTTCAATCGGACAACCCGCGTGAGCATCAGGTTTGAGGAGGAGAGGGTCGGGAGAAACGATATTTTATATTTAGACAGCAGTACCCATTTCAGCCGCTAGCTATCAATATTACATACTGTACCTTTAAATATGCCCTCAGTGTAGAAAGAAACCCCTTACATAACCTTGGGAGAAACTAGGTTATGAAATCACCTTTTGAAGAACTTGCTTTCGGCTTGCTCACTGTGGGTATGATAACGAGTATATTAAGATGGCTCTAAATGGAACTGCTCAATGGTTACCTATGGTAGATATTTCTTCAGTATTTTCTGTAAAGCTTTGAAGCAATGCACATTACCATTGTGTATGAAAAGCTTTGTAGATAATACTGGCTTACGCATTTTTCTTTGCATTAAATTCCTTTTATTAAACTTAACAACAATTACAGTTTCTTTTAATAACAAAATACATGAGCAAGAGTTGGGTTCCTGCAACAATATTTGTTTTATTTACACTTGCAGTAAGATGTATTTAGGCTTTAGTTTGGTTTGTTTCCATTTCCAAGGACTTTGGGTATGTTTGCACGAAAACGATGTACTTAAAACGAACAACAACATTGTCAAAACAATCCCCGTTCACACAGATCCATGAATTCTGCAAACTTTATAACACTACGGTTGAACCACTGGTGTCACAGACTATTTTAATGATGTCCTTGATACCTTTCTGGGCCTTTAACGTGGTAGTTGTGTTGCTGTCTATGGAGGGTCCGAAAGCGCTCAGATTTCATCAAAATATATCTTGTGTTCTGAAGATGAACGAAGGTCTTAAAGGTTTGGAACGACATGAGGGTGAGTAATTAATGACATTCCGAAAATCTCAGAATCGATCCACGAATCGCGGTGCATCGATTTATTGTCCCAGCCCTAATGATATGTTCGCAGATATTTAGGAAACATGCTAATTCACATACTTGTTTCTCTGAAAAACAGTGCTACAGCCAGTTACTTTGAAATGTGTGTTTCGTGTTGGAATCTCTGTTTTTGTTTTGGTCTGTGTGACTCCGTTCACTGCCAGTATACTCTATAGCAGTGATCCTCAAACCTGGCTCGCGAGATCCACTTTCCTGCAGAGTTTAGCTCGGTAGTTGTGTTGCTGTCTATGGAGGGTCCGAAAGCGCTCAGATTTCATCAAAATATATCTTGTGTTCTGAAGATGAACGAAGGTCTTAAAGGTTTGGAACGACATGAGGGTGAGTAATTAATGACCGAATTTTCATTTTTGGGTGAACTATCCCTTTAAACGAGCAACACATGGTGTAAAAAATGACTTGGCTGTGCTTTATTTTCAATTTTCATTAAAGGTATTCTGAAAAATCTAACCTTTAAAGTAAAATGTGTGTGTGATATTTGTGCGCGACAGTCATTGGCTCCCCTTAATTTAATAATTTATGGAATCTTGCTTTACCAAAAATAACATCTTCCTTCAGAATCTTTCCAGATACAGCTATTTGTAGTGGTGTCTGAAAGCATAGTGGAAATTGAGTATACCTATTTAGTCCTATAATGTACCACAATATCGAGTGTACAACAAAGTACACTCAACAGCTAGCTGCTAGGTTGACAACAGACCACAGAACAAGCGTGACAGAGCCCCTGCCTTGGACACAAATCCCTGAAATTAAGACTTAAACTTTATTACTTAAAAACCTTCTGCTGATGTCAGTCAATGCGCTTTGAGATTGTGTTAAGCCTGCGGTTGCACTAAAGACAAGATTCTTGGGTGATAAATTTGGATTAGTCACCTGTCAACCTTTGTTGGAAATGTTTCTGTTTTTTGAACACTTATATTGTGAGAAAAGGTTTTTTAAGTTGTCACAATTGTCAAGTGTTACATTGAGGCAACATTGATATTTTACAAGGTCGACTATTTAGTCATAAGGCACTACTATAATATAGACAAAGATTGTTTTTGTCTAGTTGCACTGCATATTTGAGTTAGGTATTATGAGTTAGGAGTATTAACAACAGTAACAATTGTTTGGTACACTATTGCTGGGGAGGAGAAAGAATCTCCTTTTATTTCTGTTATTACACTTATATTTATACACAACATTTCTGGCATCAAATTTCAGTATCCTTGTTTCTTGCTTTCTACTAGACATGTAATATTTCTGTTAGTATAAGATTATTTTTTACTGTGATGTTTCTGGCTATAAGGAAATTGATTATCAAGTTTTCTATACAAGTTTAAGTTTTGCCGATGAATAATCATTTTACTTGGATGTTTCAAGACAACTGGGTTTGTAAAATGTAAAGTTTTAACTTATGTCGGTATAAGTTTGTCCAGCTAGCAACAGCACCACGTCACTGACTTACGGCATCAAAGTATCTTGTCTGGCTCTCTTCCTGCTAATCTTAGTGATTATGAGATACAGTGACATGCAATAGTTTGGGCACCCCTGGTATATATATATATATGAAGATTGTACTGTGAATAGTTGAGTAGATTAGGAAATTAACTCCAAAAGGCATAAATGTAACATTTTAAGCAAGATTAGTTTATTATTTTGGTTTTGTGCAATTTTAGAGTAAAAGAGGAACCAACCACTATGAAAAACTTAGACACCCCAAGAGATTAGATTTCTCAGATAACTTTTACCAAGATTTTAAACCTTAATTAGCTTGTTAGGTTGAGGTTTTGGTCTGGAACATCTAGACAACTGTCAGAGGGAATTGCTCATAGGATTTTACGAGAAAGGCAAATCAAAACCTTGTTTGACTTCAAAAGACCTTCAGGAAGATGTAGCAGACTCTGGAGTCGTCTTTCACTGTTCGGCCTTAACGGAAGAGACACGAGACGAAAAATGTTCCTGTGTCCTCAACACAAAATTCAGTGTCTAAAGTTTGCAAATAAACATCTAAACAAGCATTTTGGAAACAAGTTCTGTAGAGGTGAACACAACACTTTGGCTGAAATGAGCAAAGGTATGTTTTGAGATAAAAAAGGTGCAGAAATTTATTTTGAGATAAAAGGATGCAGAATAATATTTCACTGGTAGATAGGGGAATGCATTGTATTCAATAATCTGATTTTTTCAGACAGGAAGAATGGCTGAAAATCACTAAAATAAGAATTTAAAGACTTGAAAAGCATTTACAAGCAGTTACTTAGTACTGACCATGTACGGTGCCCAAAGTTTTGCTTCAGGTCTTTTTCCTTTTTTTTTTTTTTTTTTTTTAAAACTGTAAAATATGAAAATAAAAATCTTTCTTACAATATTTAGAAATTTGTCGTCTTTAAATTTATGCCTTTTGGAAGTCAGGTCATGTTTCAATTGCTTAGTTATGCACAGTGACAGAAATTTGGATCAGGGTACCCATATTTTTGCATGCCAGTGAATAAAGTAGATTGCCGTCACTGAATGGCTGGTTGTCTAAGTGGTGTCCACAGAATAGAATAGGATTCATAGATAATTGGCTGAGTTTTAGGGTAGACCTGCTAAAAAGAGATGTCATATTCTTTGTAGAGTTAGTAATTGACTAACCAGGGCCCGTGTCAGGAAGCAGACAGACTGGCTTAACTAACCGTCTGCTTGTAGTTTATATAAATTACAACACACAGTGACTGTATCATCTAGTTACTTTAACATAGAGACTATGTCTGTTCCACAAACTACCAAATGCAAAACGACTGTTGTCAACTTGGATAATGAGAACAAAATAAAATATAGCTGCAATCAGCAATTACGGAGCCAAGCACAACAGAGGCAAAACGAGGAGCTAAGCATGGCAGGGAGCACCAGACCAACTGCAGCAATGAGTAATTAAAGACATTTTAAGATGATTTAAGTCAAAATGGCTGAAAAATCATAAATACAACCACTAGTAATATGATTTAAAGGTTTATCACTTTTGAACAATAGGTGGCGCTGTTATCAAATTGATGTGGTGTGTTCAGTGTGAGGTGACAATGGCACACACAAAGTCTGGTGTGAATATGTCAAAGATTTGCAGAGATGCGGCCTCAGATGCAGTTTGGCATCATGCCAACAAATTTGTTGACACTGTAAACGAAATCCATTTCAACTATGGACATGAAATCCATAAGGTGAATTTCACCACTAGGTGGCACGGCCCTGAAACTTTTTGAGTACCTCCAGGGCATGGAGCCAATGACACATGCCAAGTTTTCTGATGATACGTTAATGTGTTAGTAAAATATGCCAATTTATGACAAAAATCTAAATTGGTTATTGTTTGACTCTGTATTCTGCACCAAATCTAAAGAGACCAATCTTGTGATTTTTGGCCAAACCATTTAGAAGTTATAAGCAAAAAGCCATTTTTCATATATCCTGACCACTAGGTGGTGCTGCGCTGAAATTGTGCATGTACCCTCAGGCCATGGTTGTTATAACACACACCAAGTTTGGTTTGAACATGCTAAAGCTTTGCAGAGATATAGCCTCACGTCCATTTTGGTGTGTTCTTCGTAGAATTTGTTCGCGTGTTATTCGACAACGATTTGACTCAACTTGAATTCCATATCTTTTTGTCAGCATGGTCTAAAGATGGTCTGAGCCAATTTTGGTGAAAATCAGACAAACCGTCTAGGACGAGTTAAAAAATAATTCAGAATTGCAAAAAATCTTGACTTGTAGCAATTAAAATTTTGGTATGCGTTCAGCTCGACATGAGCCAAAGAATCAGATGAAAAAGGTAATTTTGCTTCTAAACTTTATGGTTCAAAAGTAATTGGCATAAACATGAGTGCAAATTTGAACTGTTGGTGGTGCTAGAGGGTTTGAGTTAGAGACTCCAAACTTGCTATGGTTAATGTTGAATTATGGTTAAAGTTGTGTGCCAAATTTCATAACTTTCCTGAAAGAGGTTCTATGGGCTGCCATAGACCCAAGAGCGGAAGAAGAAGAAAACAAACGGATACAATAGGTACCTACAATAAAATAAAATACACACTAATGTTTAAACAAAAGATCAATTTTATCAAAACCACAAACTCCCTGTCAGCATTTTTTTATTTTTTTTTACGTTGCCAGCCACCGCCAACATTTTTAATCATTTTCACAAAAATTTCACGGCCCCCAGAATACTTTGTTGTACGAACATCTGAACATGCAATACATCAAAAGAAAGAACAGAGCTTCTGCTTTTAAACAAACAAACTGTTTTATTCTAGCTTCAAGCATTCTTTTTTATCAACACTTAGACGTGGCTAAGTTTCATAAAAATGCAACATTTTGAACAAAAAGCTGAGAAAGTCATGTTTTTGTCAAAAACTATGTCCTGATGGGATTCAGAAAAGCCTCACAGTCCTAAACTACTTCCGGGGTCGACATTTCATTCGGTAACGTTAGGCTTTTGATTTATATGCTGTTTAGTGTTTGATGAATGCATTTCTTTTTCTTTTGTTTGTTCTTAAATGATTTAAAAAGTTTTTACATTCTTTTGAATGTCTGTCACTAATGTGTATGAGATGTGCAACGTAACTAACCTTGCCATATTAATTTCATGCTAGTCCACAATCCAACATGAACAAAAAACATCCCTTCAAACATTGTGGTATTGCAAAGCCATACAAGTTTATTGACCTCTTTTAAGCTTTCTATGCAGAATTTGCATCAAAGTACTGTTTAATGGGAGAAAAAAAAAAGTAATTTTACACCATTTACATTTATTTTGGCTACTTCTGACAGTGCCTTTTATTATGAGCCAATAGAAAAATTGATGTGCTGAAATTCATCCCACATGAAGAGCAGCTGTATAGCTCCTCTCCAGCAGGCGCCCGTTCTTGTGTTTCTGAAGTTTCCGAGGAAGTGTAAGTCTCTGTGCTCTTTGAATCCTTGTCTGTTTTTTCTCCAGTATGGATTTGTTGCTGCGGTTTCAAGTAGCTCGCTCTGGCACAGGCATTCACACCAGCATGCATTTTCTGGTGTGATTTCAAATTGCCGAGCCATTTAAAACCCTTTCCGCACAAAGAACACAAATAAGTTCTCTCATCAGTGTGACTTCTCATGTGTATCTCTAAGTGAGACTGAAAAAGAAACTTTTTACTACAGTGATCGCAGTTAAACAGCCTTTCTGCAGGGTGAATGCGCAGATGGTTGAAGAAGTTGATCTTGTCTGCAAACCTCTTGCCACACTCCGAACACTTCAGTACGTCTCCACAATAAAGTTGCAAATGACTTTTCAGCTGTCTTTGTTGAGCGAAACTTTTTCCACACTGAAGACACGTGTAAGGCGTCTCTCCGGTGTGAAGTCGTATGTGACACTTAAGATTTCCTTTGTGTGAGAAAGACTTTCCACACTGAGGGCAAATGAACGGTCGCTCTCCAGTGTGAGTTCTTGTGTGGATACGAAGGTGTCCTTCACTCTGGAAACTTTTTCCGCACTGTTGGCAGGTAAATGGGATCTCGTCAGTATGAATTCTCATGTGGCTACGAAAGTGTCTTTCACGTGAGAAACTCTTTCCACATTTATGGCAAGTGAAAGAACTTTTAGATCTCGTTTTCTGAGTTCTTTTTTCTGAGCAATTATTTTCTGTCTCTGTGCAACTAAAGGATTTTTCTCCACTGGTGAAATCATGGTGTTTCTCCTCCACTTCATTCGCTTCTTGGCTTTCATCTTTCTGCAGCATCAGGTCTAAAATAAACATATTAAACTGTCAAAAATCAATTCAAAATAGAAAGGTGAAACACAAAAATAGATGCCCATTTTAAGGCCACAAAGCAACAGATATTAAACAACTACAGATTGATTCTGTAATTCTGTTAATGTTGTTCTCATGTGTCACACAAGGACATTTGAGCTACCCAAGAACCAATGAGGTTTGTTCTCGTGCGTCGCACAAGCATGTTCGAGTTTCTGCAAGAACCAATGAGGTTTGCTCTCGTGCGTCGCACAAGCATGTTCGAGTTTCTGCAAGAATCAATGAGGTTTGTTCTCGTGCGTCGCACAAGCATGTTCGAGTTTCTGCAAGAACCAATGAGGTTCTCATGACAAGAAAGTTTGATTGAGTTTATTTGAGTTTACTAAATTAAATTTGTTTACTGTATAAAATGATTGTGTCTTGTGACAGCTCGATTCATATAGATTACATCTATAATTGCTCTATAAACATTTTGAAGTGTAAATTTTGCCTTTTAATGGAGAGACAAAAATCTCAGCTTTCTTTCAGATATTTATTTTCAGATATGACACGGAATGACATGTTGGTGAGTTAATGATTTATAATGATTGAGTTAATGATTTTTAATTTTAATTTTTGGATGAACTACCTCTTTAAGAACAGAGGATAGGTGGCACACTAAAGTAGGGGTTTTCAAAGTTCAAACTCTTTAGGGGAGGTGCAGATTAGGGCTAGGCAATATGACGATATTTATCATTACGACAAGTTTTAATCAATAGGGTTTTGCTATATATTTTATATTGCGGTACATAAATGCATCCTTGCATGCTTAAAGTTACTGACACGTTAGAGTGATAAAGAAACATGGGTGAATAAGCAAATAAAGAGTGTGCTTGATAAGTTATTAAAAGTGCAATAAACCATTCAAGGGAACTGAATTCGACACTTGCATGCAGGCATCGGGATGTACCTTAATGTTGCACACAGAAACCAACTCTTACAAAGAAACAATTATTTTATTTTATTTTTGCATGTAATGTTTTAAACACCTATTTTTTTTACTTCAGAGTCGTGCATTAAAATTAAGTTTAAAGGAAATTTACATTTCTCATTTTTATTCATAAAGATAACATGGAAAATGTGCCATGCTTTAGTGGACGATTTCTGCCACCTGCTGGAAATAACAAACACTTTTCAAATAAAAATGACATGAAATTACCATTATTACCAGTAAATGAATAATAAAAAGAACAGCATTTACTTAACAAAATAAATATTTTGTAACAACATACACTACAGTTCAAAAAGTTTCGGGTAAGTAAATTTTGTTTTCTTTATTTTTCTTTTGAAAGAAAATATGTCTATTTAGCAAGGATGTGTTAAACGGATAAAAAGTGACAACATTTCCAACAAAGATAATAAATCAGCATATTATTATGATTTCTGAAGATCATGATTCAGCTTTGATCACAGAAATAAATTACAGTTTACAATATATTAAAATAGAAAACGGTTGTTTTAAATTGTATTAATATTTCACATTACTGCTTTTTCTGTATTTTTGATCAAATAAATGCAGCGTTTAGCAGAAGCTAGACATATATAGCTAGACATATCTGAAAAAAATTGTGTTCTGTTTATTTGTGTTATTGCACGTAATTATTGCACGCATCTTCCTATTTTAATATTATTTACAATTCACTTGTTCACATAATTGTTTAAGTCTAGGTGTTAACACCTAGCAAATTTTGATTTAGTTTTAGTCTTTTGATTAAAAATCCATTTAGTTAGTCATCTGAATTGTTTTAATTTTAGTCAACTAAATATCATAATATTTTAGTTGACTAAATCTAATTGGTTTAATTAAAATGCAATGCATTAATGAAACATTTCACTTAAAAAAAAATACAAGGGACGATCTCTTAAATATGTTCCATCCTGATTAAACATTTTAATGGGAAATACATCATCACATTGAGCAGCTTTAATTAGGCACTCATATGACTCATCTAATGTCAGTTTATATGACTGTAAACATTTTCAAAAATATTATTTTCTTTATAGGAAAAACTGTAATGAGAATGGAAACCCACCTATTTTTTTCTCAGTATCTTCATCTTTCGCTTTGCATGGGTCTGGGATTCTTATTTCTTCACTTTCTTCTTTAATAAACTCCATGTTTATCATGTGTCACGCAGATCTCATGTTTAAGATGATGAGAATAATGAACTGGAAATATAAAACACAAAGTAAGTCTTTCTGCAACTCGTGTAGATGCGCTTTACACATCATTTATGTTGCACCATTCACATAAAACATTACATCCAACACTCCACCTTAATCTGCAATACGCTGTGGAAAATAATCGATTTAAACACATTAAATACTGATGGGTTCAATTCCACACAGCTCTCACTGGCGCAGCATTATGGCGTCAATACAAATCAAAATAAAAGTCCTGGGCAGACGCTGTTTCCTCATGAAATATAAGTGACAGGATCATTTTATTAGATGAAATTAATATTTAAATACACGTCGTCCAGCGAGGCTCCACAGAATAAATATTCACACGTTTTTTATGTAGACTATTATTAAAAATTGCCTTTTGTAGTAATGAAATTAATAACTTGTAATAGACATCTCCATTAATATTATTATTATTATGCAATTTAGGCTTTATGCCAGTGAATTCATTGGTAGTTTAATATTTTCACACAGCAGTTTTTAAGCAGACTAAAACTAAACGTTTATATGGGACAAACGCCACCTTACAAGAATTATGTCTGTAATGTATTACCAGAAGATGAAAATAAGTACAATATTCAGAGGCTGGACGGAGATGTTTTCCTTTAACAGTGTTATTCTGCTTGTCTCACGCATGCAAACAAACCCAGAACATTTCTCAGATTTCATCAGAGTCCCGGAGGTTAATGCAAACCAAAAACAAATACTGAACTAATGAAATATAACATATTGAGTTAATGAACTGCTGAGATTGTGAGCCTGTGCTTGCTTTTAAATTAATGTTGTAGTATGCGGATTCCTTATATTTTATTTAATATACTATTTGAAAATTATTAATCATCATCTTTGTAATAAATGTTTCCTCACAGTTTTCTGTTTGCCAAGAGGAGCTAAAGCTAAACAACTCTAGTCAGTCCGAGATCACTTCAGATCATTTTTAAAGAAGTGTGTGCATTTTTAAAAACCATGTGTTTGGCCCTTAATAATCCAGCTTATCACGGTGACAACATGCAAAAGTGTTGTGCACCCCTGGTAAAGTTTTATTTTACTGTGAATAGCTGAGTAGACTATTTCATTACATTATTATTTATTATACATATTATTTATTACATACTTTCAACATTTTAAGCAAGATTAGTGTATTATTTTTGTTTTCTGTGAGTAAAAAAAGGAACCGAGCACCATGCAAAAGGAGTGGGCGGAGCTAAATATATAATTTGGCGCCCTTTTTCACATCAGCAGCCAATGAGCTCGCTGCTCAACATTCAAATACTCAGCTAGTGCTTGCTGTAGCAGTTGCAGCGTCTTCAGAAGCCCTCCACCTTCCCCAGCTCCACCTGTATAGATCTGCTACGGGGG